GGCCACGCAATTTGAGGGGAAAACAAAGAGTTTTACCCTCAAATGGCGTGGCCTCGCCCCCAGCGTGCAACGTCACTTCCGGGTGACGCACACGCGGCGTGCGCGCGCACGATTTAGACGTCGGCCGGGAGCCCCCCGCTCCCGGCCAAAATCCATTTGGCAACCCTACTGCCAAACTACCCAGGTCCAGATGACCCATATTTTTAAACTCAACATTCGTTTAATTCAGAGGACCCCAACATGGTGCCTGCCCGCTGACACCTTTCCTGATGCCTGCCAAGTGTTTTTTATAAAGTGGGCAGGACCAGGTGGGGCATTTGCCTAGCAAAATGTCTGACTAGCCACTGGAGGTCTGATTGGCTGTGCAAATATTTAGAAACCTTGCTTTGGCAGCTGCTGCCACAACAGCACAAGGATCTTCACTGTGTGACTGAAGGCAGGCTGTGGCAGCCATTTTGTGGCTGGCTCCACCTCCCATGGCAGCCATTTTGTGGCTACGCCCACCACACTGTCAGAATTCCAAAGGTGCCCACAAGCTCAAAAAGATTGAGGACACCGGGTATAAATGAACACCCTATAGCAGTGATGACGAACCTTTTAGAGACCGTGTGCCCAAACTGCGACCCAAAACCCACTTAATTATCGCAAAGTGCCAACACGGCAATTTAACCTGAATACTGAGGTTTTACTTTAGAAAAAACAACTCATACATGATCCAAACAAAGTAAGGAAAGCAATCCCAAATGCTTTCATTTACTTAAAATTATTTGGTGGAGAATTCGACCCTTTAACAATGGTCTGGGCCTGGCTGGGGCGATGGCACACGTGCCCACAGAGACGGCTCTGAGTGCCGCCTCTGGCACCCGTGCCATAGGTTCGCCACCTCTGCCCTATAGGGTGGGGCTTGCGCTCTGAGGAACCACTTACAGTTGACACTGAGCGTGACCGTCCTGTTCACAGTCATGTATTCAGGCACTCTGAAATAGGTGGCTTTGCAGGTGACGTTTTGGAGATGGTCTGCTGCCGTAGGTGTGAAGTCTACGTGGCTTTCCACCCTGTTGCTGCTCACACGCTGAATGCTTTCTCCTCTGGGAATGCCTGTCCAGGTGATCTTGGGCTGGTCTGAGGAAGGCCTCCGATGGGCTATACAAGTGATGCGGGCTTCCTGTCCTGCCCTCAGCAATCCCGAAACAGTTACATCTGGGGGTTTTTCTGAAGAGAAAGGAGCCAAGTGCATAACTGCCACATCCGGCCTGGTATTTCCTGCCCACCAACTCCCCTTCACCTCAGATGAACTGGGACCACAAGGCAGATTTCTCCTCTCCCCCCACTCCCATGTAACACTGGATCCTATTACAGAAGGAGCCCTTGTTAGTGTATGGTTATTGCAGGCCAAAATGGGATCCCCTCTGTGTTCCGTTTGCCTGCCTTGAGAGAGACAATCTGGGCAAGCCAATCTAACTCAGCTGCAAAACAATGGGGAAACTGTACCCGAAGGGGACCTCAACGGGGAGCCCAGCGCCCTCCTTTCAGGCACTCACCTGTCACGATGACAGATAATTTTTCTCCTGCTGCAGAGTAGCTGTATTTATTGCGGCCTTTTTCCATTCGGAAGTGGTAAGTTGCCTGGTCAGCGGCTTCAGCATCATGGATGGTGAGGGAGCAGTCGCTTTGGTTTAGTTTTGGCCCTGACACCTCAAAGCGACGCCTAACTCGCGGGTCTATCTCCTTAATTCTATCTGGATTACTGGTGGCCACTAAACGCGGCCTCCTCCTTCGCTTCTCTTCCATATACCAATACCCGTACAACTGAGCACGCGGGTCATCACGAGATGCATCGTAAGTGAAATTGCATGGGATGTGGACACGGAGCCCCACTTGCACAGTCACCTGAGAAGATACTTCAAGGTTGTAACCATTTTTCTTGCACTGGACACCTGCAGTGAGGAGAAGACAAAGACATTCAGCCACCCAATTGGCAAACGCCGTTCCCCACCCCAGTCCTGGAAGACAAGAGATAGAACCATCTAGGGAAGACTGGGTTGTTCTACAGC